TATAAATCCAATCTCTTCTTCTTTTTTTACCTCACAGGGTGTCTGTTGTGGGGAGGGGAAGGGAAAGGAGTTTGTAAGCCGCTCTGAGACTCCTTTGGGTAGTGAAGGGCGGGGTATAAATCCAATCCCTTCTTCTTCATGTAGAACAGGGGTCCCCAACATTCGTATTCTTTATTCTTTATTTTATTTCTGTACTGCCCATAGCCAAAGCTCTCTGGGCGGTTTACAGCAAGTATGAAACAGTAAAATACAATAAGTACAATAGGCACCTTGGTGCCTTCCAGGACCTTTCCTGGCGCCCACAAAGTGTTTTTAGAAAGCGATCAGGGCTGATGGAGCTTTTGCCCAGGAGGACTTTTCATTGGCTGAACAGATTTTTAAAAAATGCTCTGGGAGCAAGTGCCACCACAGCACAAGGGTTTTCACTGAGTGACTGGAGCTGCCGCCGCCACTATTCCACCACTGAGATTCCATCATCCATCTACCCCATTACTGGGGGGCGGGGGGTAGATGTCGCCCGGCAGAGATGGGGAGAATATCATTCCTGGTGCTCATGCCATTAAAAAAGTCGGCCGCCAATGTGGAATGTTGCGCATCTTGGTGATTTTATGTAGATTATTAGAGCACCGATTTTACTGGGCATGTAAAAAAGGGCCACGAGAACTAAGCACTGAGGCAACCCTTCCTGCCCTCCCTTCTCGTGATCTGCCTCAGTTCACAGAATCCGCATTGCTGTCAGATGGCCATCGAGCCTCTGCTGGAAAACCTCCCGAGAAGGAGAGCCCATCCCCTCCCGAGGAAGCCTGTTCCACAAAGAAACCGGTCTAACTGCCAGGAAGTTCTTCCTGATGTTTAGCTGAAAACGCTTCTTGATTTAATTTCAACCCGTTATGGAAGAAAATACTTTAAAGCAGGCATCCAGTTAAAGCCATACAAATGTATTTTTTATCCTGATACAAAATACATTTATTGTTTTGCTGTGGTAAGCAGCGTTCCCTGCTTACAGGAAGAGCATGCTCTGCACTGGCTTCTGGGTTGCCTGCCTGCCTTTCTCCTATTTGCTACCCCGTCTGTCCGTCTGTCTTGTAGGTGCCTGCAAGAAATCCAGCTCGACAAACACATCAAACTGCTGGACTGTCCGGGGATCGTCGTGGCTTCTCCCACCTCCGACGCTGCCATGATCCTACGAAACTGTATCAAGGTCGAGCAGCTGGTTGATCCTGTGACCCCAGTGGAGGCCATCTTGAAACGATGCAACAAGCAGGAGGTGGGCCGGGAGCTCAGCAGAGACATGTGGGGCAGGGGGGGGAATCCAGATTGACGACGGAGACACTTGTGTGGGGCCGCCCTTGAAAACGGTTTGGGAAGGTGCAAGGGGGTACATCGAGACTGGCATCTGGTGTGGGCTACAGAGATCCTGTCTTGTTGGTTTTAAAAGAGCTTTCGCCTGTCTGCTTCTGATTTTTGGGGGTTTTTTTTCATTAACTTTTTAATTAAGTTTTTTGATAAGTCTTTACAACATCAAAATAACAGTAATATTCAAGATTTCCAAGTACAGTAGAGTATTACAAAGATAGGTATCAATACAACTTTTGAAAAATATAGAACAGTAGGTTACTTGTTTAAAAACTATCTAAAAAGGACTAAGTTTAGAAGTGCCTTAGGGTAATTCTATATGTTACAACGCGTAACTCAGTGGTACACAACCAGTGTAATGCAGGTATATTTAGTGTGGGGAACATGTTATCTGAATGTAGAGTAGTTTGAGATATATCTGTTTATGTGGTTGGATGTCTTTTTCAGTTATCATTTTAAAGAAGGGTAGCCATTTTGCAGAGAAGGAGGTCATTTTAGGAAATGCTTCTGGTTTTGATTCAACATGTTGCTAACTTGAATTCCCCTGTGGTTGGAGATCAGGGTACTCCAAGGACCATTTTCTGTGTAATCTTTCCAGAGGCCTTTTTTCTCTGTGCCTCCACTTGCAGGAAGGTGGGGAGCAATGCTCCCTCTAAGCTATGAAATCCTGGGAGCAAAAATTCTACTCTGTGAGCGACTGGCATTAAAGTTGTGAGCGAGCGATTTGGCTGCTGCATAAATCACTTTGCTCTCTGGAGCCGTCCCTTCCTGAGCTAAGACGAAAATGTGCGAGTTGTAGGCTAAAAAACTGTGAACTAGTTCACACTCACTCAGCTTAGAGGGAACACTGGTGTGGAGGCCGGGAGGAGGACGTTCATCCCTGATTATGGAATTCCTCCCGGCTGTGATTCACCAGGCATCCAGGGCCTATAGTTTCAGGCACTAGGTTAAAAATATTCTGTATTTCCCCCCCTCGGGCTCTTCCCTTGGTATTTTGTCCCGTTTTCCCTACTCTCATTAGACAGAACAACACACGCTAGGTTCCTGTTTTAGCCGTGTTGGTCTGCAACTGAAGAGCAAGATTTGAGTCCAGTACAACCTTAGAGACCAACAAGATTTCCAAGGATTAAGTTTTTGAGAGTCAGAGCTCCGAAAGCTTGTGCCCTGGAAGTCTTGTTGGGCTCTAAGGTGCCCCTGGGACTCTAGTTCCCTGCTAAATCCAATCTCCTCCTCCTCCTCCTCTTCTTCTTCTGGCCAGTCTGGTGTCGTGGTTAGGAGCGCGGACTCTAATCTGGGAAACCGGATTTGGTTCCCCACTCCTCCACATGCAGCTGCTGGTGTGACCTTGGGCCAGTCACAAGTTCTCTCGGAGCTGTTCTCTCAGGAGGAGTCCTCGAGAGAGCTCTCTCAGCCCCACCTACCTCACAGGGTGTCTGTTGTGGGGAGGGGAAAGGGAAGGAGTTTGTAAGCTGCTCTGAGACTCCAAGTGAAGGGCGGGGTATAAATCCAATCTCCTCCCCTCCTCCTTCCACCACCCTTCTTCTCTCTAATTTAAAAGAAGAAGAGATTGTATTCATACCCCGCCCTTCACTACCTGAAGGAGATGCCGAGTGGCTTACAATCTCCTTTCCCTTCCCCTCTCCACAACAGACACCCTGTTGAGAGAGCTCTTGGCGGAGCAGCTCTGAAAGAACTTGTCACTGACCCAAGGTCACACCAGCAGCTGCGTGTGGAGGAGTGGGGGATCAAACCCGGTTCTCCCAGATTAGAGTCC